GTGTGACGTTGTCATTCGTCATTCATTCATTCATTCATTCATCTACTCTTACTCTGCCTGCTGTCACCACACATCTGGAAGGTATACAGGGACATATGCTGTAGCCACTAATACATTTGGTAAGATTAATTATTTACTGACTATTTTTGCATTCTGTAACATTCATTCAATACACTTTTATCTTATATTTATTTGAGTCATTGTTTCATTTATTACAATATTATTACAGTGCCTTTTGGGTCTTCAGACACTGGATTATTTTAGTGATAGTCAAGTTATCATCTAGAATGGTTAAGGAAAACAGTATTTATAAGTAATTTGGGAACGGAAGGGTCTGCTCCGTATACAGCTATAGATTGCATAAAGACACACTAAGCTTAGAATGACCCGGAGTGACCTTTTGTCGGTAAAGGTCCACATCATACCTGAAGCGAGCCATAACTATCAATATTGAAGGATCACCGAAAACCGACATTCTGGGGGCCTCGTCCTTGGGTGGTTTAGTCGTGTCTTTTGCAGTGGAGAACACGGTGTACTCAGTTGTTGGAATGAACCTTTCTTTAAGTTTCCAAATAGGATAGGTAATCTTGAATCTAGATCATGTGACCCTATTGATTTAAATACTGAACAGAGAACCGTTAATTCCCCTGTTTTGTTTTCTTTCCCTTCTGTGTTTCAAGAATATATAAAATGTTGGATTAAAAAATATGGAGGTCCATTTAAGTTGGGCGAAAATGTAAGTGATGCGCTGTTTCTAGAGGACATTTTTCAAGTATTACCCTCAATAATGCAGCTTAAAGATGACAAAGTAAAAAAGGGTAGAAGTTTGCAAGCTTTACTAGATATGCTAATGATGTCCCTTCAAATGATTGAACAGTTGCAAGTTAGTTTTAATCTGCAAGCTTCTCTTATTGATACGCTGCATGTACAATTAGAAGATTACCGCACCCAGGCACAAAATACAGCTCACACTGCTGGATTCTTACAAGATAAAGTTCATAATTTAGAATCCAAAAATATAATCCTTGATCAAGCTGTAGACACCTTACAATGCCTGCGTACTAAGCACTCTCCTTCTTTCAAACTAGGCGGTAAGGCTCGGGGAAGTGCTATATTTAAAAAATCCCCTGTTGCTCATGAAAACAAATGGATTCAGATAATGGCGGTGAATTTGTCAATACCATCCTGAAAGAGATCACAAGTTGGTTAGATCTCCCTTGGGATCCATATTGCTTATCACCCTCAAAGCGGAGGCATGGTTGAAAGGATGAATGGCCAGATAAAAAAGGAACTAAGCAAAATCTGTAATGCCAATGGTAAAAATTGGGATATTTTACTGCCTTTTGTCCTTGCTCGGATGAGATCTAGAGTTAACAGGCATATTCAGATGTCTCCTTATGAAGTACTTTTTGGTCGCAGTATGCCTTCATGGGAACGCCTTTTGCTTCCTATGGATATATCTACCTCTGTAGCATTATACAATGAAGAATGGGCCAAAGCACATTTTCTATGGCTCACCACTGTACAAGGACAGGCGCTGCACACAGATGCGGTGTCCGCCTTAAAAAGTAAAAGTGATTTTGATAAAAAATCTGACCTCATTGAATACCAAGTGGGAGATTCTGTGTGCATGCTTAAACAAGGACAGAAAAACCCTAGGAAATTTCCTAAAGATTGCTGGGAAGGTCCATATCTTATTGTGGACAAACTGGGACCCTCAGTTTATCTTATTCAAAAATCAGATGGTTTAAATGTCTACAAGCATGCAATGCAGCTTAAATTGTTTAAGGGCTCTTAACCCCTTAAAACCGGAGGACGTACAATTACGCCCTCTAATAGGCGGCTCTAAACGCCGCCGGGCGTAATTGTACGCCCTCCGGTTTTTGTTAACTTACCCGGTCGCCGGCGGTCCCACGCCGGCGATCGCGGTTGGGGGGACTCCCAGGGAGCCCCCCGCGGCACCTCCGTCCTCCTGGAAGCCCCCCGGCCATGTGAGAGTGGGGTCCTAGCGAGGACCCCACAATCACATGGCCGGGGATAGCTGGCTTCTGTATTGCCGGCAGGGGGGCTGCCTGTAATGACAGGTGGTCCCCCTGCTGGCTGAAAATAAAAATAAAATAAGTTAATGGTGTAAAAAAAAAAAATTATATATACTTAGATCATATATATATATTATATATATATGATCTAAGTATATATATACACATATACATACACACATGTACACCGTCTAGGTGTATTTTACTATTAATATATATATAATTATATATATATATTAATATCAAATTACACGTAGACTGATACTGATTAAATATATATAATTATTGTTATATATATTTATATATAATATAAAAAAAATAAAAATGTAAATACGTTAAATAAAATTAAAAAAATAATTAAAAATAAATAATTAAAAAATATATATAGATGTGTGTTATTTCGTTCTAACTGTATTGTGAAATTAATATATATATATATATATATATATATCAAAATACACATAGAACGAAATAATATATATATCTACACATAAATATATACGTATATATCACTATATATATACCTATATATAAATAAAAATATTTAAAAAAAATTATATAGATATATACATATATATACACATACGTATATATATACATATATTAATTCTACATATATATTTATGTAATATTTTTACATAATTAGGTATCTTAATTAATTACAATTAGCAGGACCTGCATGACAACCCATGCCGAAAGTAAAGGGAATTTAATTTGCTAGCACTATATTTAACCCTATAACTTTCCAAGACACCATAAAACCTGTACATGGGGGGTACTGTTCTACTCGGGAGACTTCGCTGAACACAAATATTAGTGTTTCAAAACAGTAAAATGTATTACAACGATGATATCGCCAGTAAAAGTGACGTTTTTGCATTTTTCACGCACAAACAGCATTAAACGGACAATATTATTGCTATGATACTTTTTACTGTTTTGAAACACAAATATTTGTGTTCAGTGAAGTCTCCCGAGTACAACAGTACCCCTCATGTACAGGTTTTATGGTGTTTTCAAAAGTTACAGCGTCAAATATAAGGCTTGCGTTTCATTTTTTTCACATTAAAATTCGCCAGATTGGTTACGTTGCCTTTGAGACCCTATGGTAGCCCAAGAATGAAAATTACCCCTATGATGGCATACCATTTGCAATAGTAGACAACCCAAGGTATTGCAAACAGGGTATGTCCAGTCTTTTTTAGTAGCCACTTAGTCACAAACACTGGCCAAAATTGGCGTTTTTTGCATTTTTCACACACAAACAAATACTAACGCTAACTTTGGCCAATGTTTGTGACCAAATGGCTACTAAAAAAGACTGGACATACCCCATTTGCAATACCTTGGGTTGTCTACTATTGCAAATGGTATGCCATTATGGGTGTAAATTTCATTCCCGGGCTACTATACAGTCTCAAAGGCAACGTAACCAATCTGGCGAATTTCAATTTCAAATGTAACGTGCTATATTTGACCCTGTAACTTCCCAAAACGCCATAAAACCTGTACATAGGAGGTACTGTCTTACACGTGAGACTTTACTGAATATAAATATGTGTATTTTATTGCAGTAAAAGCAAATAGTATTATGACACTGACCGTTAAAATATAATGTAGAACTAAAAAAATCCAAAAAAAACGTATTTTCTCCCATTTTTTTCATATTAAATTATGTTTCATAGCTAAATATTTGATATTAAATGAAAGCCCTGTTTCCCCTGAATAAAATGATATATAATAAGGGTGGGTGCATTTATTATGAAAGAGGTGTATTACGGTTGGACAGACATGTAGCGCAAATGCCAGCTTTTGTTTACATTTTGTTTTGTTCACAATGTGTACATTTGGCTCCGTCCTTAAGGGGTTAAAGCCCTCTGTGTGTTATTCTATATTTACTTTGTTTTTCAGAAAGTGTACAAAGAGACTGAGACTCTAGAACGGCTGTTCCAGACTCTACTTTTCACTATGAATGATCGGCACCTTTACATCTAATCTTCATTTGAAAAAAAAAAAGAAGGTCCTACCGGATGTACAACACTAGCTTTGGCTAGACTACTTTCTGCACGTATTGCATGTTTTCTTAGTGTGATGCTTTCATTTTGTATGTTATTTACTAATAATAAATAGTAACGTTTTGTAACAATCTCTTTATCCACATTTTTACATGTTATATTTGAAGTTTGGTGCCATTAATTTACAGTTTGATCATAACTAATTATTTTGTTGGTTTTCATAATCTACAAATTAGACTATGGCATCTTGGACATGTTTGGTGGGATGCGTTACAGTGATTTGTTTGCTCTATACCTTTACTAACATTTGGCATCCAGATAATCATAATCTGCAGAAGCGTCTTGTCACTTCTTATGAAGTGCTTGCTCCTTTTAAACCTATATATTTAGTCTCACACCCTACTACCAGCATTGACCTTATCTTTTCTTTATTGTCTAACTTTCAGCGTAATAGTGTTAGATCTAACCGTCCCATATATCATATTTCTCATAGTTCTGCATCCCCACAATTTGTTGCACTTTTTATTGCTAGTGTTCCAAAATTTGACTATGCTCAGCTATGGCTTATTAATAAAACCCATCTTCTGATTCCAGAATATGGTGCACTTCCGCATCTTGATAAGAATATTTGTTTGATATGCAGTATTGATTTGCAATCCGCTACTTCTGGCATTTTTCATAATTCTAACAGTCGCCCTATGGCTAACATGGATAATCTTAATACCTGTGGAAGTCTAGAAGTCCAGGACTCTAATTCTGTTGCGATGCCTGCAACTATTTTGGTTAATACTTCCAACCCCTCTGATTCTGTAGGTGAATGGCAATGTACAGACAATGGTATTCCACAGTTTATAGTTAGAATTGATGAAATAGCACAGCCTTCTACTCCTATAGCTTCTGTATCTCCCTCTACGCCTATACCAGAATATAACGCACCTCCATTTCAGGAAGGTGACCCTATTCAAGTTCGTTTGGACTCTGCTACACATGTAGCATATGATGTTTCATATCGTTTGGTTACCTGGCACTTACAATTAAATAAATGGTTGGTTTCCACACAATATTCCAATTGGACGCCATTCCTATCAGTACAGGAAAGAGCTTTTCAGTGGTGGTTTTATGAAAGCATGTTGTATAATGTATCACTTCGATCACACCATCGCCCTAGACGAGATATTTTAGCTACTGGGTTAGGTACATATGGTAGTGTCGTGGGATCAGCTGCACAAATTAATTCGGAAATTCTAAGATATAAACTTGCTTCTTTAGCCTCTCATACTTCTACGGGTCTGGATACCCAATATGGTATTAATACTAATATTGTTAAGCTTCAACAGCATCAAACTCATGTTATGGTAGATACAACTGAGATTATTTCTGATAAGTTTCACACTCTGGTCGACTCAGTTTACAATTTTACTCGTGATACTGCATGGGCAATGCTATGTTCACAGGTTCAGGCTGATCTGTCTACCGATCTTAAACTTCAGTTGCAAAGTTTATGGTCAGGTAGATGGTCTGCTTCGTTGAGTCGTGCTGCTTCAAAATCTGTGACTGACTTTGCGATGACTCATCTTTTGTGGTGGGAAGTTCTTCTATCTGACTGCTCACTTGAAAAATGTGCCATTCATACATTAATACCATTGGCAGGCAAAGATGCTATTATTTATCGTTTAGCTACAATTGGCCTACCGTCTAATGGGTCATTATTATTGCCTGAACTTTCACATCAATGGGTAGCCCAGGGTACGGATAGTTCTAACTGGACCCTTGTAGACATTTCTTTGTGTCACTCTAATGCTAATTCTTATATATGTTCTCCATCCCAATATAAAACTACTACTGAAACATGTTGGGTTAATCAGGATGAATGTAGTTTTCATGGTCAATTTAATGTTACAAATCCTGTCTACTACTTGGGGTTAGATCGTGTTTGTTTTCACTTATTTCAGCCTGATCAAATTATTTTTAAAACACTGGATAAATCTCTTCTCAGCACTCACTTATTGCCTGGCATGTGGTGTAATTCCATTCCTGTGTCTTACATTGCTTCTTCAGTATGGAACTTCACTATGCCTCAACTTACTAACATAAGTTTGGATTTATCATGGGAACGTATTGTTGATTTTTCCATGTCAGATTTGCCCCTAGGTTTGGGTTCTGAGATGAAAAAATGGTTAACTGACTCAACATCAATTACGACATTGCTTAATTCATTAAAGAGTGTTTTGCACCAAGCTCAAATTACTGTCACACATAAACAAGGGATTCTTAAACAGGTCTCTGTTGCTGTTAAGCAAGATGGCCAGACCTCATGGTGGGAATCTGTTTTGGGATGCAGTAATACTGCTACACATTTTTTTAATGTAATGTTGCATCCAGTTGTAGTTATTTCTCTTTTACAATTGATTTTATTTTTATTCATCTGTGTTTGTGGTTCTTATTTCAAAAGTTTACATCGTAATCTGTGTAGAAAGGTGACTGTGTTGGAAGACTTAGAGTCTAAGCATAAACACCTTCTCCCATTATATACATTAAATGGTTATTCTGTACCTTTAGATCCCTCTCAGCTTCCCACTCCTTATTAATTATGGATTTTATTCTGTGTTCATGTTCTTACATTATTTTTGTTTTCTTTTAGATCTCCATTTTGCTTTTCTTCTATGTCATAACTGGTTCCTTTTATTTTTAAACAGCACTTGGGCGTTTCTGTCTCTTTAAGCTAAATACTAAGTGGTACATTCTGATGACAGGTTTACCAGCTACACTCTATTACCAGTGACTTTCTCTGTCAACGTACATCCAGCTGCTTTTATTACACTTAGTTGTGAAGAATTCCTATATCTACGAAGAGTTCCTACTGACTGCTATGCTGTCTATGGGTACAATCTGTACTAGGATGAAGACTTTGCATATTATTTCTACTGAATATTTTCTAAACTTTGCATATACCTAAGGAATTGAGGAGCTAACATGGTTATCCTACTTCTCAATCTTCCTGTTTGGTTGCTGTGACCGTTCTACTGTCACTGTCTTGTGGTGTTTCTCATGCTGCAAATTTCTATTTCATTCTGCGGCCTGGACTCTAATTCTGAACTCTCCATGAACTATGTTTCTTGCTATGTCGCTGATATTCCTTCTATTTGAATTCCGAATTTGATTCTGGTTTTTGACTTCTTCAATCAAGATATCTAAAGAACTTTGATGTAGCTTTAACACAGTTTACTACGTCACTCTGTGTTATGTTTCTTATTCCTGTGTTTCTGCTGGTACCACTTGTATTTGATTTTTTATTTTATTTTTTGCTTTCATTATTGCTGTATTCAATTTTTTTTTTCCCTCTCTCTTTCTCTTCTCTTCTCTTTGGCACAAGTGTTGTTTTGTTTTTGATTTTTCTCTGGTTTTCTCTTGTTTTTCTTTTTGGTTTTGTCATAGAAGAAAAACAAGTGGGGGAGTGTGGAGTGTTGATCATTATTTAATGTGTAGTTTGCAATATATATATGTATTATATGGTATGGTACATATATATATCTAATATGAATGTACATTTAGCTGTATAAAATAGGTGTATGAAATATTGCAGGCCTTTTTGCTTAGATTTGAAAAAGTAAAATTTTCAATGACATTTCCACAAGGTTAACAGCTAAAAGGTTGACGTTAAATTAGAACACACACATGTGTTGTCAGTCAAATGTATACAAAACACTTCACTTAATTTTGAAGCTAACTATAGGCAGAGCCATCTAGGGTATATCCCAAACTTAGATATTCAATACATTACACCATGCAACAAGTTAGAAAACCTTTTTGGGAGTATTACACAGGTGGGGGCTGCTTCATGGAGGACAAAATGGCTATTTAACTGAATGAGAAAGAGTGTGACGTTGTCATTCGTCATTCATTCATTCATTCATTCATCTACTCTTACTCTGCCTGCTGTCACCACACATCTGAAAGGTATACAGGGACATATGCTGTAGCCACTAATACATTTGGTAAGATTAATTATTTACTGACTATTTTTGCATTCTGTAACATTCATTCAATACACTTTTATCTTATATTTATTTGAGTCATTGTTTCATTTATTACAATATTATTACAGTGCCTTTTGGGTCTTCAGACACTGGATTATTTTAGTGATAGTCAAGTTATCATCTAGAATGGTTAAGGAAAACAGTATTTATAAGTAATTTGGGAACGGAAGGGTCTGCTCCGTATACAGCTATAGATTGCATAAAGACACACTAAGCTTAGAATGACCCGGAGTGACCTTTTGTCGGTAAAGGTCCACATCATACCTTAAGCGAGCCATAACTATCAATATTGAAGGATCACCGAAAACCGACACAACCTAAATCAGGCAAATACATTCGGTCCATCTTCCTCCCTGTCAGCAATGATAGGGGAGATTAAATCAAAAATTCACAAAATAAATTTGCATTGAACTACTCTCATGGTGAGAAGCCTCAAGAAAGTGTTTTATTTAAAGGGTAACAAGGCCTCAACTCTCTTGGTGTCCAAACTCCGGCAGGTAAATGCCCATTCTAAAATTGCGTACTTAATAGATGACCAGGGACAAAAAATATTTCACCCGAATAAGATTAGTGACCAATTTGCCAAATATTATAGTATACTTTATAATTTGGAATCTGATGTAAATCTCACCCAGCCATCTGAGGCGACTGTTAATAATTTTTTAGACACGGTTTCGTTGCTTCAGCTGTCTTCTGATAATTTGGAAAAATTAGAGCGTGATATATCTGAAGCAGAGATAGCCGAGGCGATTAAGCTCGTGCCATCTGGAAAGGCCCCTGGTCTTGATGGATTCACCATTTTATACTATAAGACCTTTGCAGAAACTTTAATTCCTCATATGTCCAAATTATTCAACTCCTATAAGTCTGGGGGGAAGATGCCAGGAGAGTCTTTGTCCGCACAGATTGTCACCTTGCCAAAACCAGGTTAAACTCCCGACAGATTCTCTAATTTTAGGTCCATATCCCTTATTAATAACGACACAAAAAATTATTCTAAGATACTAGCGAACCGATTAACTAATCTAATACCTTTATTGATCAATAATGACCAGGTAGGATTCATGAAAGGTAGACAAGCACCTGATGGAACGAGACGGTTCATTAACTTAATTCAGCATATCAATTCAACAAGAACTCCTTCTCTGCTCCTTTCATTGGATGCAGAGAAGGTGTTCAACAGGGTACATTGGGGATATCTATGGAAGACAGTGAGCAGATTTGATATTCCACAAACTTTTATTACTGCGATAAAGGCACTATACAGTACACCCACAGCTTATGTATCGGCCTCTAGTTTCCAATCCAGAACGTTTTCTCTAACTAATGGGACGCGTCAAGGCTGCCCCTTATCTCCAATTCTCTTTGTCCTGGCAATGTAACCCCTGGCCGAACTGATTAGGACGACCCCAGAAATTGCAGGTATTAATATCAAGGGATCCACTCATAAAATAGGGTTATTTGCAGATGACGTCATTCTAGCACTCAAAAACCCAAAAGACTCTCTGAAATCTCTCAATACCAGTTTGGAGAAGTGTCTTATTATAAATTAAATGTTTCCAAGACCCAGGCCCTACCTTTCCACTTGCATAAATCTGATATGGATGAATTAAGACTATCATATCCATTCGACTGGAGGAAGGATTACCTGGAATATTTAGGAATTAACTTATGCAAACATTTACCCAATATGCATATTCATAACTTGAAGAGAGCATGGCCGGACCTACACAAGGAGATGGAGAGATGGGGTGGTATGGAGTTATCGTGGTTAGGAATAATTGCCTCCATAAAAATGTCAATCCTCCCAAAAATCTTGTACTATTTTAGAACTATCCCCTTATCTGTTCCAATGTCCTTCTTTAACAAAGTACATTCAATAATGCTAAAATTTATTTGGAACAACAAACCCAGCAGAATTAAGCTTACATCCCTGCAGCACCAAAAACTTCATGGGGGCATTGGTTTCCCTAATTTCAGAAAGTACTACTTTGCAACTAACGCTGTAGCGGTTGTAAGCTTCAATAGTCAGAAAAATAGGCCGAGATGGATGGAAATGGAGGAATCTAGCATTTTCCATGGAAACTCTATTCTGTTGTATGAAAGATTACAATTTAAGCATAGACTGGCGACCGAATGTAAGGATGAATGTGAGTTGGTGATTGAGAAATTAAAAGAAATATACAACATACCGGAAACCGACACAAATTATAAAGCATTAGAAATATCACAACTAGAAAAGCTATTTTTGCATGACC